TGCTGACGCTCTTTCCGAGGTAATTTCCTTCGATTACGTTGAAAAGGTGCTAAGCTTTCGTCCTTCATATAACGAACATCATCAGAGCAAGGTATCATCGTCACAACCAAATTCAAGCTAACGAGTCAAGAAAACTAACCGGAATCCAATGAGATTAACTCGGAAACAGCGTCAGCATGAATTTTCTAGTAAAGCTAATCGACAGCTGGCAAAAGGAACAAGAGATTCCTCGAAACCCAACTTTTCTTTGCATATATTAACTACATACTACCGAATAAACAAACAGACACTGAAAATTATCATGAATATTATGACAGAGGAAGCAAGAGTAGGTATGTTCTACAAGGTCTCCTTGCCGTTCCAAGTTACGAAAACGACGTCAAAACGAACAACAACAAATTTCCAGTTTCTTTCGTGTGTTTAGCCAAATTTGACCGCTGGACCTACCAATCCGTATAAACATTTTTGCCCTCAGATAACCCTTAGCGAATGAAGCGTGAGGCCTCGCTAACACGTTTTCCTACTATATGAAAGTTTATTTAACAGATTCATCGAAAATCAGCTGCCCATCCGATATAAAATATAAGCTGGCGAAGAAACTATGCAGTTTATATGAATTTCTACATTCAAAGTTCTGACATTGCTAGTTTTTCATAAGCTCATTTTGAATCTAAAGGTTGTGGGACTAAATATAATCAAATATTCAAGAAAGTGGGTTTCTTGTCTAGCAGCAATATGATTTTTGAATTATTCAGATACATTTTTCCATTATTTCTTCCACTAATAATAATCAAGCATAAATAAACAATGGGTGCCTAGTTTTTACCGGGCAGTGATGTAATTAGTTTTCATGGGACTCAGAATTTTACTTATACTGCAAGAATAGCCATATTTCAATCAATCCATGGTAAAGCAGAAAGGACTCATTTATTCAATCAAAAACTCTTACAAAAGCGTCAACAGTTAAAATGCCAAAAGAATGTTTCCAGTGTAAGAGACTTGCCTTTAGTAGCCGTCTTTAGAGCTTGGTGTATTTTCGCCTCTGATTCGGTGTCCAGAGCTGAGGTAGCTTCATCAAGTATAAGAATTGGTGAGTCCTTCAAAAGAGCTCGGGCGATGGCTACTCGTTGGCGTTGGCCGCCACTGAGGCCAGAGCCACCGCCAGTGACGTCAGCGCCCTGGCCTACAGGCGTATCATAACCTTGTGGCAAGCACTCTGTGATGAACTCGTGAGCATTAGCCAATCGAGCAGCAGTCTCTACCTATATACGAGAGAAATAAATTCAACAACCGATTTATTCTAGTTCAATGGAAGCTGAAACAAATATGGTATAGAATTATTCAGATAAAGACAGTAAGGGTGATTCTTAAAAATCGCTAAAGTTACTAAAAACTACAGATCATGAGGCTTGGAATTTATGAAATTCTACTTATGGAAAGATTATGAGGATAATACTCGGAACATCAAAGCTACTGCAAAAGAAGGCAATTTGGTAAATAAGATAATTTAGTAGGAGCATAATATTTTAGCAAATAGCATAACGGACTTTATGAGATTATAATGTTCAAGGTTTATATATAATTTATTAAA